TGCGATAATGCCCAAGCCATGCAATCCGCACTTAATCGGTTGGCAATCAGTGTCCGTAAGTATGGTATGTGCTTTGCACCTTCGAAGTGCAAAGTACTTCTACAAGACTGGCAGGATTCCAATCCTGTACTCACCCTGGATGGTGAGCAGATAGACCTAGTCGAGAAGTTCGTGTATCTGGGTAGCTGCATAAGTGCTGGTGGAGATGTGAGTGATGAGATCAATGCACGAATAGTGAAAGCCAGAGCGGCTTATGCCAATCTGGGCCACCTTTGGCGCCTTCGTGATGTTAGTCTGGCTGTAAAAGGTCGGATCTACAACGCGTCGGTGAGAGCAGTTCTGCTCCATGCTTGTGAAACCTGGCCTCTCCTAGTTCAGGATGTCAGACGAGTCTCTGTGTTCGATCATCGTTGTCTCCGAAGGATTGCTGACATCCAGTGGCAACACCTTGTTAGTAATGCAGATGTTCGGCATCGTGTGTTCGGGCACAGAGATGATAATGCGATTGGTGGCACCATCTTGAAACATCGACTTCGGTGGCTTGGACATGTTCTACGAATGTCGTCCCAGAGAATTCCACGTCGTGCATCATTTGCGGACGCCGGGACTGGTTGGAAAAAGCGGAGAGGTGGTCAGTATATGACATGGTGTCGGGGCACGAAAGAAAGCTGCAAAGGGCTGACTTCTGTTGTTCCTTCGCGACTCCCTGGCTGGTGTCCGAGAGATGGTGCGACACAGCGGCTAGAGACGTTAACAGATATGATTCAGAATAGAAGCCGGTGGCGATCCTGCTGTAACCTTCTTTTACTTTCTTCATAAAAAGTGGTTGTATCTTCCTTAACTGAAATTCTTCTGGTTGTACCTTTCCGTTTTCCCCATTATTATTATTATTACTTTACATTAACTTACACTAATCTGTGGTTGTTATTGTTCTTCTTTTTTTCTTTTACGCTCTTTACTTCTCTTTTCTCTATTCCCCTTCTCATTGTTTTGTGTGACACATATATATTTGGTGCCCCATTGTACCAATATTTATGTGTTCAAACAAATAAATAAATAAATATCCTAGTGAAGATCAGATTATAGGTAACTTCTGAGAACTATTAATGAACAAATATTATATATATATTGTATAACTATTCAGTAAGTAGATTGTGTATATCTATATTCCTTTTGTCATAAGCTTTATTTTAACTTGTAGACTATTATTATGCGATTTGCTGTTCTTAATCTATGTCCAGTTTATTAATTACAGTCTTCCACGTTGACAGCCACTTTTTTGCCTGATCTTGTACAAATGTTACCTCCTGTTTTGTGGTGTGATGTGGTCTGTTTGGCTGGTATATGAACCAATTATGTTTGAAATAAGCCGTTATTGGCGTTCTGGACTCAACTGGAAGGGGTAGGAGAACAAAGGACCCGCCATATACTGATTCCGTAGGTATATATATATATATATATATATATACGCATGTCTAGAGTCTTGATTGAGTATATTTTCAGGCCTGAGGACGAAGTTGGACAGCTGACTGTAGGGGGGGGTGATGAGATACTGAATCTCTATTGATTGAGATGGTTCGCACATGTAATTACGTATGTCCAGCCACTGCCTTCTATATGGTTGGGGTAAGCGCGATTATCGTAACCAATCTTTAGAGACTGGAAGACTGGGCTCAAAGTTATTTGCATAGGTGTACCCATTCTATATTGCCCTATGTCGTAAGTCGTTACATTTCTTTATGAAAATTTATAGGCCTAATGATTTTTTTATTACCATATGATGTAGCAAGAGAAAATAAGAAATAACTGGCCACCGAGCAAAGATAGACATTCACCTGTAGGAAGTATCAAAAGACTATATGATACTTTGAATTCGTTCTACTATCGATTTCTCTGGATTCAAAACAGTGCGTGGAGTTGTTGTAATTATGTTAGTAAATTTTTACCAATTTAATCTGATTCTCAATAGTTTCATCCGAAAGTGTGTATCTTGTATCGAGCGTAGTGATCGAATAATCTAATACCTGGGTGTATCAAGCTCGGATTTTCAGAAAACCGTATTCCATCTCTCTCTTGCTCTAGCACAAAGAGACAAAACTATCAAGCAGTAGCAATATCAGTAATAATAAGAAAGATCAGACACACAAAATGGTGTTAGAAGATCCTGGGGCTCATGTTCTAAGGGAAAATAAAAGTGAATGCACCTACACCATTGTGAAAGACTCTGAGCTTTGTCATTCAGTCTCTAAAGATTGGTTACGATAATCGCGCTTACCTCGATCATGTAGTCTGCACATATATATATGGTTCATTCCAACAATCAATGAATTTAAGGACTGATACCGCGTTTTATTTAAATGTGCCTAGCTTTCTTACAGCCTACTCTTACAATAACTTTATAGCTCTGGGATTTGTTTTGTCAATTTGAAATTACTACCTTTATGGGATGTGGCAACTTGAACCGTTAGATATATGTGCCAGGTTTTATGTTGCATGTGATTGAATAAATAAATAGGAAGCGTGATAATAACGAGAGGGAAATAAAAAGTCTAGTTTACGAAAATGATATAAACTAACTAGGACACTAATAGAACATGATACTTGATCTCTAAGTGGACAACTGAGGTTCTATTATATAATATTATCTATAAAAATAGCTTAATGTTAAGATATGTGTTATGAGAATAAGATCTCAAACGTTCACTTCACTTCGCACAACACTGAGATTTTCGACTAGTAGTTCTTGGTGAGAATTAGGTGTTTGGTAGAAATCACCTGTTTCTTTAAGCTTATGTGCATAATCACAGAGTATCGATTTACGAGTATTAGGGTGAAGTGACAAAATGAAAATTTAAATTCGGGAAAATATTTTTGAGCGAGTTAGGTTATTTATTTTTATGTTTATTTACTACACCATTGGTACTTTGTAACTTTTATTGAAAGCCGTTTTAGTGGAATTTGTATCATTTTCCTTAATACTCGTTGACCACATTGTCATTTGGAGACATAACAAAAAAATAAATGAAAAATCACTCGGTAGAAAGTTCAGGCTCTGAGTTCGAGTCCTGCGTGCAAGATCGTGAATATGCACTACTGAGGAGTCCCACACTAGGAGAAAACGGTTGTCCAGTGCTTCCAGGTTTTTATTCGTGGTCGAACATCTATCGGTTCGTGATCTCAATTAACCTCCACAACCCTATACTGATTTTTATAACATGATTGTTTGCTGAAAAATAAAGTAACGGTCCCGCTGTTAAAAAATGCGTAGTTTTTGTAAAGAATATGATTAATTCCCAGTCACATTTAATTTTCAGCCATTATATCTAATTAAAATCAAAGTTTGATTGAGTTTATCGAGAACAGAGAATTAAATCGAGATACTAGCCCCAAGTTGAGTAATCCTATGAGGGTCAAAATATTGATCAAGTCGAACATGGTCTAAAGGTTTGACTGTTTCCACCAGGAACGCGAAACCGAGATTCAAAAGAATACATACATGAGAAATATTTAAGCTCATAGGAAAACAACAATTCAAAAATCACCAGACATTATGTTATATTTTTTACTGTTTCAGAAGGGAACGATTTACCTTAATATACAAATAAGTTTAACAAACAATGGAATATGAGCATTACTTTCTAATAATAAAATTTTGACATTTAGACATTTAGATAGTCTGACAGGTGTTAGATGAGTTATATATTCCCCTACCCAATTATTATTATTGGTTGTTCATTGTTGTTGGATTGTGTTGGGTTTCGGTGTGGAAATATATTTACGTTCTAGTCAGGCTAATCACGTGTTCTTGATCTGAGTTGTGTTGAAGTCCTGTAAAATAAATACTGGAAGGGAATCTAGTGTAGATATTCATCTAAGATAGATTAACGTCACATTCGTGTAAACGTGGAAAACCAACCGTTAAAACAGAAATATTAAAGCATTTATGAGTATTAGTAGGAGATACCAGGATGTTTATTGACATTCTGTTAGTTTTATGTTCTGTCTAGATCGTAGACGGGTGTTGATGAGGAGTCCCAAACTAAGACAAAACAGCATTCCAGTGCTACCTAGTTTTCAACTGATATCCAGTTTACGTAAGTTCTTGATATGAGTAAACAATTGAAGTTCAGCTAGCAAATACATTCAAAAAGATAAAAGTAATTATGAATATGAGTCATCTTAAGAAACCTACATTGTTGGACCAAAAAGAAATACCAGACGTAAACAAGGAAACCTTCCAGAAATTTAGTAATATCGTATATTACACTCACTTATTTGTATGTACTATGTACTGGTAGTAGTAATAAAGATATATAAGTTCCAGAGGAATAATAAATATCACTGTAATAGAGATAATTTAGTATAACAATATAGAATCAGGCCTCAAACGTTAAACTACCAAGTTTGCAAAACTTAACTTAGTATAACCACCGACTCCAGTCACAATAGCTAGTCTGTTAGATAACAGTTTATCTATGGTGTGAAATATTTATGATTATAAGGTATGCAGTGGAGTATGAAAAGTTGCTCAATGTAGAAAAAAGGTAACCGATATTCAAAATAAATTATTCGGGAAAGGTGTTTACGATGTTTTGAAGCCAACGTTCAAATTCTCAGATGCTGGTATTATATGAGTTACTCAATATATTGAATACTGAATTCCAGTAGTGTAATTTCGACAACACCTGAATTCACGTAGATGTGGGTTGTTAATTGAATTTTTATTTTCTTATTTTCTTCCGAGTCGACGTTTTAAACACTAAATTACACTATAATCCGTTTTAAATACATCAGATATAATAAATGATAAGTTGAAAATCAAATACGTAAAAATCTTAGGAATGAACACATAAAACCAGAGATTTTGATTGACATCAACTTATACATGTCATCCGAAAATAGATGTCTCAACATATTTGCTTCTGTGACTTTTATGAGCAGAAAAATAAACAGGAGGTAAATATCTATACAAGATTTAGATAGAAATTATTATGACTTACCAAATACAATGCTAGAGCTTGGATTAGACACTGAGTAGCAAGAATCATTAATTGCAACAGGCACTGTTTCGAGCCACTAAAAATCACCAGAAATATTATAGTTAAAATGAGAGGTTTCAATATTGCTATTTGTAATTGTTATACTCCACACATAAACACGATAAAACCAAAAGCTTGTAGAATGCCTTTGACCATTTCTGAATTTCAGCATAACTTTTCAATTGTACACTGAGTGAATAAACATATTGCTTTAAGTGACACAGATAATCAATATGTGGGTTGTAAATACTTGAGGTTTTGTATAAATTTTCCTAAACAAGTATATTTTGAGCCGATATTAGTTCTGAATATTAGTCTTCATTTAACAGCTTTACGGATATTAACTGCTCTTAGAATTGAGATCAAAAAGAGAGATCAATGTATTATGTCTAAAACGCTACATTTACCAATGTAATCAACATACATATGCGATAGATTAGTGAGAAATCATAGTTTTTTTTTGGTTCTGATTAGAAGTTTATTCTTCTTTTGCACAATTAGCAGCGGATTCTCACTGATCAGTTAATACGGACGATGAACTAGACACAAGTGTACATCGATCTCAAATTACTACACCTCATGTCAGCTCCGCCTGTAGCTCTTATAGGGTTGCTCCCGGTCCCAAGCACGGGTAAAGGAGGAGGGTTGGGCATGGGGTTAGCGTCCCCATCCCGTAGAAAACCAACTCGCTAAAAAAACGCTTACCAGAAAAAATAATCCAAACCATTTTAACTCTGCCCTGGGAGTTAGAAGGTCTTCATTTAGAAGAACTATGACGCTTCATGGTGAAAGCCGAGTTCCTTCGGAAGCCACGAGGCCGATGCCCCTTCTAACAACCAGAGCAAAAATTTTTATAGGTACATGGAACGTTCGAACAATGTGGGAAACCGGGAAGACCAGTCAAATATCAATGGAAATGAGGAGATACAACTTAGCAGTACTGGGAATCAGCGAAACCCACTGGACCCAAGCTGGACAGAAAAGGCTAGCTATGGGAGAGATGCTACTATACTCCGGTCACGAAGAGGACAATGCTCCACACACTCAGGGAGTCGCTCTTATGCTGTCCAAAGTAGCACGAAATGCACTTGTAGGATGGGAATCTCACCGATCCAGAATCATCAAAGCATCATTCAAAACAAAGAAGGAGGGGATCTTAATGAATATTATCCAATGTTATGCACCCACCAATGATAGCAACGACGAAATTAAAGATCAGTTCTACGAGCGGCTGCAGTCAATCATTGAGAAATGCCCAAGAAAGGACCTAACTATTCTGATGGGAGATCTAAATGCCAAAGTTGGAATAGACAACACTGGATATGAAGATATTATGGGACGACATGGACTGGGAGAAAGAAACGAAAATGGAGAACGATTTTCAAAATTGTGTGCATTCAACAAATTGGTCATAGGAGGCACAATATTTCCACACAAGCGTATACACAAGGCTACGTGGATCTCACCGGACCAGACTACAGAGAACCAAATAGATCATATTTGCATCAACAAAAAATTCCGAAGGACAATGGAAGATGTGAGAACCAGGAGAGGTGCTGACGTAGCTTCAGATCACCACCTAGTTGTAGCCAATTTGAAACTGAAGCTAAAAAAGAACTGGACAAGTGGACAAACAGCAATACAAAGGTTCAATACAGCCTTCCTTCGAGATACTGTCAAACTTAATGAATTCAAGATAGCTCTCAACAACAGGTTCCAAGCCTTACAAGATCTACTGAAAGAAGAAGAAACTACTATGGAGGACAACTGGAAAGGCATCAAGGAAGCATTAACTTCAACGTGTCAAGAGGTTCTCGGTCTAAAGAAATACCATCATAAGGAATGGATCTCTACAGAAACACTGGACAAGATCAAAGAAAGGAAGAACAAGAAGGCAGCAATAAACAACAGCCGAACACGAGCAGAGAAAGTCCAAGCACAAGCTGAATACATAGAAGCAAACAAACAAGTGAAGAGGAGCATTAGAGCCGACAAGAAGAAATACGTGGAAGAACTAGCAACGACGGCAGAAAAAGCTGCTAGAGAAGGAAATATGAAACAGCTTTACGATACAACGAAGAAACTATCAGGGAAATACAGTAAACCAGAGAGGCCGGTCAAAGACAAAGAAGGCAAGCCAATCACCAAAATTCAACAACAGCGTAACAGATGGGTAGAATACTTCGAAGAGCTCCTGAATAGGCCGGCTCCAATGAATCCACCGGACATCGAAGCAGCACACATAGATCTTCCTATAGATGTCAATCCATTAACTACGGAAGAAATTAGAATGGCCGTCAGACAAATCAAGAACGGGAAAGCAGCGGGACCCGACAACATACCAGCTGAAGCACTGAAATCAGACATCGAAGCAACCACAAGCATGCTTTATCTTCTATTCAAAAATATTTGGGAGGAGGAACAAGTGCCGATGGACTGGAAAGAAGGACACCTCGTCAAGATTCCAAAGAAAGGAGATCTGAGCAAATGTGAAAACTACAGAGGCATAACACTACTGTCAATACCAGGGAAAGTCTTCAACAGATTGTTGCTGAACCGGATGAAGGATGCAGTAGACGCCCAACTTCGAGATCAACAAGCTGGATTCCGTAAGGATCGGTCGTGCACAGACCAAATTGCAACACTACGGATCATCGTCGAACAATCAGTTGAGTGGAACTCATCACTATACATCAACTTCATTGACTATGAAAAGGCATTCGACAGTGTAGATAGGAGGACATTATGGAAACTTCTTCGACACTACGGAGTTCCTGAGAAGATTGTCAATATTATCCGGAACTCATACGACGGACTACAGTGCAAAGTAGTGCATGGAGGACAGCTGACAGATGCATTCCAAGTAAGGACCGGAGTCAGACAAGGCTGTTTACTCTCTCCCTTCCTCTTTCTTCTGGTGGTCGACTGGATTATGAAGACCTCAACATCTGAAGGAAAACACGGAATACAATGGACAGCTCAGAACCAATTAGACGATTTGGACTTCGCAGATGACCTAGCTCTCATATCATGTACACACGAACAGATGCAGATAAAGACAGCCAGTGTAGCAGCAGTCTCTGCATCAGTAGGCCTCAGCATACACAAAGGGAAAACTAAGGTCCTCAAATTCAAAGCGGAGAACAGCAATCCAATCACACTTGATGGCGAAACTCTAGAAGATGTAGAATCCTTCACATACCTGGGAAGCATCATCGATGAACAAGGAGGATCCGATGCAGACGTAAAGGCGAGGATCGGCAAAGCAAGGGTCGCATTCCTACAATCGAAGAACATATGGAACTCAAAACAACTTTCAACCAATATCAAAGTAAGAATCTTCAATACGAACGTCAAGGCAGTTCTACTGTATGGAGCTGAAACTTGGAGAACTACAACAACCACAATCAAGAAAGTACAAGTATTTATAAATAACTGTCTACGCAAGATACTCAACATCCATTGGCCGGTTACCATCAGCAATAGCCTTCTGTGGGAGAGAACAAACCAACTTCCAGCTGAAGAAGAAATTAGGAAAAGACGATGGAAATGGATAGGACATACATTACGCAAATCGTCAAACTGCATCACGAGGCAAGCCCTAACTTGGAATCCTGAAGGGAAGCGGAAAAGAGGAAGGCCAAAGAACACATTGCGTCGGATAATAGGAGCAGATATGAAAACGATGAATTACAACTGGACGGAGCTAGAAAGGATTGCCCAGGACAGGGTTGGGTGGAGAATGCTGGTGAGCGGCCTATGCTCCTTCACGAGGAGTAACAGGCGTAAGTAAGTAATGTCAGCTCATGAACTGATTTCATGTCTTGTCTAGCTTACTAGTTTTCTGCAAACTACATTAAATGGTGTCTAAGTAACTGCAAATATATCCCATCTCAAGTCGATAAGGGTTTACAACCTGATCATTGCATTTTTACAATTAATCTAGTATTATATGCACAACCTCAACATTGTTCACCCAGTGGCTTCATTATGTACGAGCACTGCTTCAACGATACCTGAATTCAAATACTTGCAACTTAAGTGTTTTCTATTTTTATATATTATGTTTCGGACCCGCAAAGCAATACCGAGAAAATTAATGAGGGACATATTCACCCATTGGTTGACAGATGGATACTTTCCCCATGATAGGTGGTGAGATTTAGCAAAGTTGGTGAAGGCTCTTTTATGACGAGATTTCATCAAATACTAAGCTACTAAAATTGAAGAGGTTTCCAAGATAATGAAAGCGGTTAATGCACTCCAATACTCAACTCCCTATAGTCAAACTAAGCAAACTAAGCCCTATTCAACGACATATGTATGTATTACTAAGCAATAACGCACCTTGTCACTATACATCATGTTAAATTATTGAAAAGTATGAATCAAAGACTAAAATAAAAATTTACCTGGGTAGGTAAAAAAGTATCCACTAATCCAACAAACGCTGCACCGATGAACAATCCACACATTACAGGGAAGACGCAATATGCACCTAGACCTAAGTCAATTTTAGCCATCTCCAATGCTGGTTCTAACAGGGACCAGAATGATGCAGCTAACATAATCTATTGATGCAAAATTAAAACAATATATGCAACTATACAATCAACCATAAGGTAGTCATGTTTAATTGTTTTGACCAGGATAATATTCTACAATACATCTGTGAAAAATTGATGAAAATAATTCAAAAACCATTCCAATAATTCTAATAAACACAGCTTGTAAAAGTGAATAATTATGTACAGATAAAAAAGCTAATGCATGCAGCTGGAAAGTCGGAACGAATAAGCATTAGAGCAGTCTAACCAACCTTTAGCACCATTCCTAGGATTCCATAATAAAATTATTCGGGTATTTATCACTTTGTGTAAAATCCATAACGATGAAATCAAAAGGGAAAGAAACTGAACAAAAACTTCAACTGATTTGTTTCCAGATACCATCAAGATATTGGAATTTTGATTTTTCGGAACAGAAGGGTAATGGTTGTTACAATTTGACAATCGTATGAAATAACGTATATACAGCCAAGGAGAGAAGAAATTAGAAATGATTTGATTTACCAAGCGATTATTTGTTCCAGCAACGGTATATACTGTAATTCTGACCAAATTCATGAGTGCGAACTAGATTTACTTTTTAAAAACTCCTTTTTTATTGTACGGACATTAATATAGTTGAACAGTTTAAGGTGGTACAACAATATGACTTGTTCCATATTGTTAAAATTTAACAGATTAGGGACGATAACGTGAAAACTAGTAAGACTTACTCCAGATGAAAAACCCAAACTGCCGTCAAGAATCTGATTCTAAACACAACAAATTAAGGGATAGAGACGGCAAACAGCAAAATCAATTTTAATAAATTTTAATAAAACTATACAGTTTTATACAAAAGTAATTGGATATATATATATATATATATATATATATATATGCAAAGACCTATGTTGTAACAATTTACACCACTACAGAGAGGAACTTAACAAGATGAAAATTGAAGTTTCAACAGTAGTAGTCGAGAATTAAAATACAAGGAGAATTAAGTAAAAACTTAAAGATGAATGTTCACTCAACTGCAAATAATTCTAATCCGTTACCTAAAGCTTCCAACATAGATAACCATCATCTCACGGATCTAAAACAGAAGGATTGCATCTCCCAATACCTGTTGATCTATCATTCAATGGGTACATTGATTGACCGTACATCTTAGTTTGGTCATATCATTAGTGATTTCACAATGGAACCTTATGCTAGCCAGTATAATTCATAGTGGGTTGTAGTCGCAAATATTTTTTACTAAGTAAGGACAAGAACAGCATACACCACAATAATCTTCGGAACAGGAGTAGGAGAAATTCTAGTCCGATTACACATGTACTGAAGCATCGTAATGTAGCTCGAACACAAGACAAAACTAAGCCATCTACATATAATCAGACATATGGGACCGAAGTGAGTGGATGAATTATGGGTATCCAAAAGATTGGTTATCCAAACAAATTATATTGTAATTCCTAGAAAGTCTAATAAAACACTAAAGTCAGATAGTGATCACAAGTCTTAGTTACAAAATCTAGGAATTTGTCGTAAAAACATTTGGGGTAAGAAGAAATTGATCCACAGTCACTAAGTAAACAAAATTTCAAAACTAATTGGAAAAAGATGTCTTTAAAAAATTGTATTGAGGATATTGAAACTAATCAAGTTTCTTAAAAAGAGAAATTGTGTGCCTTCGCAAATGAAAGTCCCTAGATCTTTAGATTCTTTCTGTACTATATCCTTACATAAAATCTTTCCTTTAGATATTACACCATTGAGTTAACTACTCCTATGGATCCGGTGTTCGTTTTGCTGTGCTAATGAGGTGTGGCAACTTGAACCGATGCATGTATGTGCCTGGTCCTACATTGTAACTGACTGACTGACTTTAGATTTTTCCACACTTGTTTTCATCAGAATACACAACCGCATAAAATAAAAACATACCTTTAGACTCGTTGAGGAATTCGAAATGATGAAACAAAACATAGAGCCAATCGCAGTTACAAACCATGTTAACCCAGTACCCAGCACAGTTTGTATAAACGGTGAAACATCCTCAATCATGATTACGAGAAAACAATTGAAAATTTGAGTAAAACCACTAAGAATGGTACGTATATATGTCACACAACAATCTACAACCCGAAAACATAAACAGATAAACAAACAAGATTAAACATGTCATACTTGAAAAAAAAACTACCACCTAACGGTTTGCTTTTTTTTATTTAAGAGCTCCTTTCAGCTTTAGTAAGTTTGACAAAAGGGAATTTATTTAATGAATTATCGAAAATAGCATACGTGAACCGTGAATGCCAGTTTAAGACCAACCTAGTTTCACTTTGAACAATTATTATGATAGTCTTATACCTTCCAACTAAAAAGTGATTAGTTCATTCTGTTCGCAAACTTGTGGGAATGGCGAACTTATGAACAACAAGATTACAGAACTTCTAATGGTTAATCGTTTTATTTTTAATCAACATACTCCAACGAATAATAATTACTGGTTACTCACAGACTGAAATTGGTAATTTGTAAGAGCACTGCGTGTCAGCTACCAAAAGATGAAAAATCTAATTATAAATGAGTTTCATATGGAATCAAAGATACATAACATTGGGAATTGTTCTGTAATGACTGGTGGTGAAGCATATATATTCGTTTATCTAGAGGATCCAACACAATGAACAGGAATGTTGAAACCGAACTTTAGGTTGCGTTCAGCTGCATATTTGAAGTCGCTAATTGAAATCATTAGTTAACGCAATGAGATAGTCATAATATGTGGCAATTGAAAATCAGGCTATATCTTGGTATGACAGAAATAGGAAACGTGGATTAATAGTGAGATCAAGTATGTGGACTTTTCAAGAGTCCAATTGAGATTTCAATGGCATCCCATATACTTTCAATATGTAACGAAATGTTCATACTTATTCAACAATCAAATATTCATTCCATATCAAAACCTCAGGCATCACGCAAGCACGTTTATCTTAAGCAATAAATACACAGTGAAACACACAATATTGAAAAAAGTTGCGAGTGTTTTCAAAAAATTTCCTTATTGAAAGACAAGAACACTAAGAAAAATGGGGTACTTATTTTATTTGAAAAAGGTAGACAAAATATCAAATTTTCAAATAATCTGCAATATAAAAATGGAAACCAATACAAAATATTCTTTTAGCAAAAATAGTGTTATAAAAATGCATTACATATCGGTTCATATGAAAAAGATGAAGAATCTGTCTATTGTTGTAATCCTTGGATAAGCCAATAAGCGATTTGTTCTAAGTATTCAAAACCGAAATGTACGCCGATATTACGATAAACATCTAAACGACGATAAACTGCATGACCAGTTGGAACAGTTAGTGTCAGCTTCGTAGAACAATCAGCACACTGAGCAACTGACCCACCATTTGCAATCAGCAACTCCTGTATCCCACCACCTACAGTACATTTAGGACACTGGAGATCCTATCAAAGATAATAAGTGCAGTAAAATAAATTTAATGCACACATGTGCGTTTAACCAATCATTTATCGTCAAAAATTTTCAAATAATACACGATCAAATTTGAAATTGTTTTCGTCAGAAGCTGGCATCAATAGAAAAACCATAACGGATTACAAAATCAAGTTGTATAGGAATACCAAGTACCAGTAGATTACTTGATAACTAAACTATGTACATATGGTTAGTCAATATAATTATCAAAACATATTAATAAAGGAGAAAATATGTTAATGAAAGAGTACACTTTTTACCTACATTAAAGGAACTATAAATGACTCGATTTTTCACATTAGGCCGACAACAAAACATGAAGGAATAATTTATAGTAAAATATCAAGAAAACAAATTATTCATTGAGTTATTTGCAAAACGTTTAGATGTTCTGATAGATATGATACGGCGACGAAAATGAAAGCTAGTCAGAAAGTCACAATTAGTCAAAACTAGATGAGAAGTGAAGTCACATATATATTAACATGACCATGAATGAAAATCATTTTCCCTTTATTTCAAAACTAAAAGTGATGTAATATTTATCTAATGATCGCGACGACAATTTATGCATAAAGCACGACAGAATGATAAAAAATCCAAATAACTAGTGGTTTACAGTAAAGAAGAATTACTAGTGATGAAAAATATAGTGACAACAAACTATTTCAGTAATCTGCTCCATGAAAATGCACGTTATGAATGATCCTCAAAATAAAACACATTGCAGCAAATAATGAAACTTATGCAAATATAGACTGAAGAGTGAAAAGAATAGGTACCTTCGGTGCAACATAGAGCGATTAAAACAGAAGGTGTAATAAAACCTACTGTATGTTGAAATAGCAGTTTCACAGAAACCTCTTAGCTATCGGACTAGGAGGTCTCTTGTGTATTTATATATATGACTGAGATTTATTTGTACGATACAATTTGATTTTGAAAATTAAGCAATCCGGTGCACCAAGGTTATAAAGCCATCTTTTCAGAAGATTTCGACATTTAGGTATAACTAACACTACATTAACGAAACACTCAGAAAACCACAGAAACCGAGTTAACTTACTATACCTGGAATATGAGATACAATTAATAGAATAGAATTGCAATAGCAGAATTGGATTTAACAAACCTGTAAACAATGTTGAAGTGAGAATTGTTCAAGCTGTTGAACAAGCGCTTCTTCTAGCCTATCACGTGGATAAACTGTTCGACAATGTGGGCATATCCAAGCCCAATAACCTGATGGTCTAATTTCAACGTGCATTGAATCCATAGATGCCATTATCCAGACAACATGTATATCACGACAAACATCTATGTCCCGTGTAAAATTACACGTTGGGCAAGCAACCTCTGGGAGATACACTAGTAGAGAACGAATAGCAGTTGTTTCAAAAGTATATTTATTTGGATCTTGGTTCAACGGACAATCCCTAACCATATGAGGGGCAATCCAAATGGCCTCAGGTGAAAATTCTCCAACATTTATTAAACGAAGTAAATCATGTCTAATGCTTTCAATGTGTAACTTCGCGAATGGCTCTAAACTCAAAACCTTTTAAGGATTAAGGAAAAAAAGTATGAAAACAGAAAAATAAATACCAAATAAAAAATTCAACTTCGCGACTTACAGTTTCTTAAAACGGAAAACAAAAACTAGAACTACGTAGTGATAGCATACTAAGACTAGGATGTTTTTGATGCTTGAGAAAATCTGTTAACGAACGTAAACCAGTGGCGCATGGTTTTCAGAACGTACCTTATGAAAGCACCTAATACGAAAAGCGACAAATGAAACTATTTCATTCTCTTTAGACTATTTTGTGTTGAGGATGACTGTTAGAAATGCATCATTCTTGAAGATGGTTTATTGATTACAATAGACCAAATCCGCAGCTGCTTGTAAAGATCGCCCACTTTAACACAGCCGGGAGTTTAAAACTACTATTCACATAGAATTTCCAGCTGAATCGAATCGATAACTTGAATATATAGATACATTAAACAGATTATCTAGTGATATATGGTCGAAGGAATTAAAAATATCAAAGTTAATCCTTTTGTCCAAACAAAGTAGACCGATTTAACAAATTCTTCGTTACGAAAAAAGGAAAGGATGCATGATAACCAAAAAAATGAGCAGAAGAAAATTCAAAACTGAATAATCAGCGTCTGATGAATTGTTTTACGAGTGAACTGATTTTTAGGATTTAGTGTATACACTTTTGAAGAGACGAATGATTCAATCCTGATTGCCGATACATCGCAGACAGTATTGATAACAGAGTTTAATAGAATCAATGACGCGTTTCAGGAGAACCATCAGTGATTCTTTACAATAATTAAACTTTTTTTTTCGATGACAAAAGAGGTCAAAGTTGTTTGGTATTTGGATAGTTCAATAATAAGACGAAAACGTTTTTTAATACCCCAATTTCAAAAGCTACTTGATGGAAAACAAGTGAAGGAAGACACCTAAATTTACGCGAATTCCAATAGTTATGATGTGGGAAGTTATATATCTGGGACCAGTGCTATTCTTTAAAAGTAACGCAGCAACACCTTGAACTTAATAGTAATAATTATATATATATATATATATATATATATATATATATATATATATAGAGAGAGAGAGAGAGAGAGAGAACAACATACCTCACACAATGATTTGATGAAATCAAGAAGCGGAGTGAAATTCAGAGTATAAATAGCCTGATGTGCAGGTAAAAGAGGTAGAACTAAGTTCGGATTCGAGTTTTTGTTGTTGTTGGTAGCATCGAACTCTATGCCTGAACCGATTGACTTTTCCGCAAGGTAAGCACTGACAAGATCGTTATTTCGAGGTATGTTTGAACCATTATTTAATTGGCAGGTCCTATTATTACCAATTGACGGGTCAGTTTTTCTCACTAACTCTGGATCAATCCATGCAGCTTTCCGTTGTAGGCGAATAATTAGATTGTATAACTCTGGGGCCAATTGATCTCTAAATAAACGTTCTTCATATTCCTTAACTCCAGGAGAGACAGTAGCGTCTGACTTGTATGGTGTTGTTTCAGCTTCATGTACACAGTTAGGATCTTTATTCACATCAGCATCAAATTCAAGAGATCCGTGTGGTTCATTCTAAAAAAAGTATAGAACTGTCTACCATGGTTCTTAAAGAGGAACTAACGAAAAATCAAGTGAACGCCTAAGAAAACAATTGTTGATTAAAAAATGGGTGTCCTTCATAAAAATGTAAAAAGTTAACATCTCAAACCCTCTTTATAAGAGGTTGTAAACTGCAATATTATAAAAATCATACAAAAAATGACTTACCAAAGAACAACTAATGGATTCAATCAAACGGCGATGTTCATTTCGAACTGCATTGTAAATAGCCAAAAGATAGCCTGCCAGAAGACTTTGAAATTTACTTCTTAAACCACGTGTCTCAGGTAAATAACGTGCTAAATGCCAATGCATATCAAGCTCAGGATCGGGAAGATTAGGTTGTCCTTCTATATTGTTTTCCTTATCTTCAGTATGAGTATGAGACTGATGTTGAATGGTTAACACTTTACCCCATTCAACATCTTTACCATCGACTAGATTTTCTACAGAGGCCTGG